TTCTCACACATACTGTGCACTACAAGCCCGTTATCCCTGTGATAAATTTCTGAAACATTGCGCTGCAAACTCCGAATATGAAATTCAAAAGGATCGATAAGCCACGCTTTCACGGTCTGTATTCTTATTAAAAAGCTGTTGGACCATATCTCTTTCCCCTTTGTGCGTAAGTTATGTTTGTAAGCACTCCTCCCACGTCAGAGTCTGTACGCCGATGAACAACACACAAGTACGAAACCGCGTAGACTATTCCTCGTATTCCTTAGGCATACTCATGAAAAACAGTATTAGCATTGTGAATCAAATTGCATAAAAGTGGTCCGTCTAAGCGCTGTCAAATCAGCTTTGCTCATGGATTCCATTCTGGCCCGACGTATATTTGGCACCATTTGCCCGTGCACCAATGTAGTTCAGGAATCAGTGATAACGGTGAATATGTATATTAACATAAATTGCATAAAACGGTGATATGTCCGTCAACGACGAAAATGCTCAACGTGTCCGCCGGCGTTCTGCTTACACTGCGGAAATCGCCTGAGGCAATAGGCTATAACTGTTTGTAAAGTTTTCGTGTTGATGGCGCGACATTCTTGGACAGCCTTTCAGTTGCTCCAGTGAAATATTCGTTTTCTTGTAAGCTCTTCTTTTAAAAAACCCCATAGGAAGAAATGTATGGGGCTCAAATCTGGTGACTGGGCAGGCCAATCTTTGGGATATCTGCGACCGATCCACCGGTGACCGAACACCTCCTTAAGTTTATGCCGCACCGTTTGTGCATAATGGACAGGTACGCCTTATTGAACCTATGACGGCTAGAGCGAAGTGCCGAAGTAGCCAACGATAGTCGGTGGATGTCATGGATGTACACTCAATCATGTTTACGGATGAGGCATTTTTCCGTCTGCATGGCGCAGATAAGCGGCATGTTTGCGCTACCAATAACCCACGGCAATGCATTGTTTCGCGGGCGCAACATGGTGCACAGTTCATGGCATGGGCTGGGTTGACAGGCCGAAAAATTATTGGGCCGTTTTTTCTTTTCCAAGAATGTGACGGGTAACTTGCTTTTTGTAACAGAACTAATGCTTCACATTTCTTAGCATCCTCGTACAAAGAAATGTTGCAGACCAGGGTCGTTCCACAGCTGCAAACCGAAGGATTATTGAGTACCGTTCAGTGGCAGTAGGATAGTCCGCCTGTCTATTCTGCACAAACGGTACGTGATTACCTTAACGAAAATTTCGGTAATCGCTGGATCGGTCGTGGAGGACGTATTGATTATCTTGCACGGTCTCTTGTTTTGTACCCCCTGGATTTCTTCCTATGGGAGTACTTGTAGTGCCGAATGTATAAAACCAGATCAACTGTCTGAAGGAACTGAAACGGAACATCGTAAACGCATACCGCGGTGTATCGGTGGGCGCATTGTAGGAGGTGGTAGTTAATAGCATCCGGCGAGTAGTGCTCTGCAAACGAAACGACGTCGGTCATTTTGAACATCTACCTCGTCGACTTTTCTGACGGGTAAGTTGGTGTATTAACAGAACTGATGCTTCACATTTGTTAGCACCGTGCTACAAAGAAATCTCGCAGACCTGTGTCATTCCGCATCTGCAGGACGAAGGAACTGACACTGAGCATCGTCAACGAATGTCGCGGGATGTCGGTGGACACTTTGCAGTAATGCTAGGCAATAGCATCGGGCGAACACTGCTCTTCAAGCGAAACGACGATGGTCATTTTGAACATCTACTTTGTTGATTTTTGTGCACTTGAAACATACCTCATGAAAATATATGTATAATGCATAACGATTGATTTCACACTGTTGCGATGATTAATGGTGCGAATACTTCGTCAGCGTTGAATGAACGCTGCGAGAAAGTAGAACAAGATGAGTACGTGAGAAACACGCGATCGCTTAGTTGCGCAATAAGGTGCAGGCGTCCTTTGTGTATGTTTACTGTAAAGTTGACGATAGTGGACGAAACCGTCGAATCTCCGTAGGCTAAGTTATGCGCTTCTTGCAAGCCAAGGTTACGTACTTCTGTTGGCCATATGACGTTAATCTCGTTTGCCAAGCAGCTCGATGATGATTACCGCCATTCCTCTGTCCACCCCCTGGCGGGATTGAGCCGTTGAGAATGAAATCAAAACGTTCCCACAATGAGGGCTTGAACGAGCAAACGGAATGTCCTTTTGAGGCGAGGGAACAGGTAGACTCGGATGACCAGACTGAATAGTATTGACTTGGTATTCCGAAATGCTCTCTACAAGGGGCAGTTCGTTACCACATTTTTGATGCCACCTCAGGCTGTTTCGACCGGTCTCTCACTTAGAGCCGCAGTGTAAGCTGTCATTTATTTTCAGAGTCAGTTTCTCTATAAGAAAATCCGGCGCTGCGAAATGTCTACAAAGTGCTCAACCCAACTTTCTATTTCAGTCAACTAAATCTCACTTTGGTGGCAGTCCTTCACGTATTAGCTGTTCGTGGGATGGAAGATAATCATATTCCAACCATTTGTCTCCCATAAGATTCAACAATTCATATCCGATCGTGATAGACAGAACAGCTCCCAGGCGGAATGACATACTCACCAACTTAAGGCTGGACGTTCAACGCGCCACGCCACGATTTTTTGACTCATGCAATTCTAATCTTATAATCCGACCGCAACAGGTCTTCACATTTAGCTGTAACACATATGCAACCTTCTTCCAGTCGTTGCGTTCTGCATAATGGCTTTCACCTCTGCTGGATGATAGGTGCGCGTTCCTCTTCCTTTCATCGCAAGTCCACGTAAACTCAAGATTACAAACCATAGAAATCAGGTTAAAGACATACCTTGTAAGCGAACGAGTCGTTTGTAATAGCTCGAGCAACGTGTACCCCAGGTTGTCTATTAAAAGCAACTAGTACATCAGGAAAAAGTACTGTCTTCATTTGCATTACGCAGTTGAGGAGTGTGCGCTTCCAGCGCAAGTCCGCAGTGGCAATCGGCAATTTGATCGAGACAACCGATTAAGATGGCTCCAAAGAACGGCTAGCTTACTAGTGACAAGGGAGAAGTACGTTGCGCTTTTTATTACCGATGGCGTTCACGTAGGAAAATGTCACATGTTGAAAAGTTGAATGTTCCCTCACACGGCGTACAGATGTGAGTTGTGTGGCTTCGTACGCTGCACGTTGAAACGGTCGAAAGTGCCTGGTTGCGCTAACGTTAGAAGTGGCATATGTTGCCGAGTTGAATGTGCGGGAGCACGACCCACGGCCGTATAAACTGCATGTAAAGGATGTGACAGTTCAAAGTGGCAGACAGCAAAGCGGAACCGGGGTATAACGGAACCCAAATGGTATTGGATCAGAATACAAGTTCACAGAATTACCGCCGAATGGGTGGTGTGGCCGAGGCCGGACTGATTCGGGGATACTGAGTGAGGCAGTATGCAGGGGAAGGGCGCATGCTCTTGAATGGGTACGGTTGTGGCCACGGTTCTGAGTCGAATGTTTTTGCTCAGGTCAACAAAACGACAAATTGACCGATAGGGAAGCGACTCAGTTGACTAAACCTTATCAAACATCAATCGTTAAACCATGGTAAGGTAGTTACAAACCGAAGGAAACGGAACAGAAGAGAGAGCGCTACTGATCATGTAACCGTGCTGCGAACTTCGCAACGGGTCTCTAACCTATGACGCCGTGGACTGCGATGCAACCATCACAAAAGACGACAACTACCAGTCTTTCTTAGCCTTTCTGTTTGATTCTTAATGCCCTTTTCTCGTATCCTCGTATGGCAGCCTCGCAGTTGTTGTAACAGGCATGGCCGCACAGCCGGTTAGCAACTATGAGAAAGCATGATCCATCAGCATAGACGGTTGCAATTCAGCACAAGTTCTAGTGCTAGCACTTGTAGTGCGTGTCTCCAAAAACCAGACAGTGAACATCGTGCAACATTCAACTACGTGCATCCGATTAGTCGACCCATCCAACACTGCGAAGTAGTCCGTTATTTTCCACGTAGAACCGTTGTGCTTGAAAACGTCATGTCATTATCCCTGCATGCCATTCCGCATCTATCTAAGCATCCACTATGCATATCTACCTAGGCGCTTATTAATCATTTCTGACTAATATACTTGGCCGGGTTGTGACTGTTACATATTATTTTCATACGGAAGCGCTTGGCTTCTTATGAGTCTGTGCTAATTGAGCTTGTTGTCTGATGTAATGCTACGTAATGTTGTCATTCGATTACCTACTAAGGATAGCCATATCAAAAATCTATTTATGCTTAAGTGTCCATTGCGCTCTTAACTGCGCTATAGACCCGGTGCACAGCAGCATTTACCGGCCAGCTGCTTTACCCAACTTTTTTCTATTAGGTAGGTAATTCCATGTTATTTGATTGATATTCCATCGCATTAGATTCCGGTTGCGTGGTAGGCCATCTGACTTCTGATGTACTGTGATTATCTCTCAATACAACTACATACATTTCCCCTACTCATTAGTGATCGAAACATTCTTGTCAACAGCGTCTGACATTCATCCATAGTCTCTGTTGTGAGAACTAGTGACTCTGGGTGCCAACCCTTTTTTCTGTAACATACAGAACTTGCATAGTAGTGGAGAATGAATCGAGCTATATGGTATTTGACTTATAAGTCAAGACGAGCTTTCTGTGTCGCTTTTGACCTAGGGGCGCAAGCAGTTGGCTAGTGTCGAGAGGTCATGAGCTCCGCTTCTTATGGAGGCGGGTGATGAATCCCGATAGGACGAAAAAGCGATATGGTACTTTTCGGGATTTGTGGTTGCTTATCTGATTTGGAAGATACTGTGATTAACTCGCAAAGGCTATTTTTTGCCGGAGCATTTAGGAGACCTGTCCGTTCGATTATTTGACGCTTGACATACGTTGTTTAAGTATAGTTTATCCACCATCGCTTCTAAATGGAAATTCCCCCGCACCTTCTCATTCCTTACTTCACTATTGCAGCTGTGTGACCTCTGAGGACAGCTCTGTTGCTCTAGGACTGCAGCTTTTCTTCATGCGAACTCTCGGTGAGTACCTCTGCAAGGCGGTGTGTTTTTCTGACCTCACTAATGCTCTTTCCTTGCTCGTGTCGAAACAAAAGTAATTATGTAAATAATGTGGGGATCTCTACAGGTTGTTCTTTTCCTGCCTAATGCTATGCCTCTCGCCATGACCACTGCCATCTCTCCTAGTTGGTTTTGAGTATTGCTTGGAGGGAAGTGCTACTCAAGCCGCTGATCCATATCATTCTGTCGATGGCCTTTACTCATACCAACAAGAACGTTAATTTACCAGCACTGACCTCGTGTTTTGTTTGTGCACGGGTGTGATGACACCGACCTATCGGAACGCCCACTGCCTTATCATAGTACATTGGAAGATCGGCGCAGTTTTTACTTGGAAGAATGGAGTTGTATTGGGGGAACTTAGACAGTTGTTGTTGCAGCGGCAAGCAAGATTACTTTCGTTCATCCGGATTTCGGGGCACAATCTAAATTTTTTCCATGATTTACTTATCGTCATCTTAATTTTTAAGACACCTCTTTTAACTATGGCGAGGTTTACAGTCGCTAATGTAGGCGACGCGATGTTACCTATGGGGAAAACGTCAACATTTGGGAGTGATCGTCTTCGACTCAGGTGAATCTTCACTCAAGTGGAGAATAAACTTCTTCGATTTGACCAAGTATAACTTATTACTGGGCTGTTTCAATAACATCTGTCGGCAACTCTGATTTGTTTACGTTGACGAGTGCTCGGTCAACGTGGCACCGCTCTGTTTCTGCTCGAATTGTTAGCACTTTAGTGCCTGCATAGTACCTTCAGTTTTGTCGTATGGTTTCCCTTTTATTTTAATTACTTTGTTCACTTATTGTACCTGCAGCTTTATCATTCAGCATTTTACATCTACGGTCCAGGTGTATGAACACGTCCCATTTCATCTTGTTATGCCGTACATGGACGGTGTGCCAAATTGCTGAGACCCCAGTGTGCCACTGGTCAGTAGTTTGTATAAAACAACACTATCACGTTTTCATAGTGTCGTGTTTTTCCAAATTCAGCGACGCAGTACGATTTAACCAATACGCCGTATCTGGTGGTGGGGTTCCTTGATCGTCCTATCCCATGACGTCCCTCCTTTTTGAAAAAATACAGCAAGATGACATTTGGTACATGCAAGCATTTCGTGTTGTCTCTTCAGTACCAATAACAACAATCGATGAGAAATACTAGCAAATGGCGGATGTGACAAGAAAAGCAGAAACAAACTTGTGGATCGAGATGGGCGAAAACGATTCGGTCTTTATGTTCACGGAGGCTTGAGACTGTTTATGCACGCACAGCATAAGCTGCATTTGGCTAATCGTTATAACCTCAGCGAATCGAAACAATCGCGGATTAGACTGACGCAGCAACATTTGGAATGCAGGATCGAGTCGGATCCGGTGACCAGTAATCAGTAGGTTTTTGCCTATGGAGGATACCAGCGGCTTATGCAACGGCAGGGCTTGTGTAGGAAATGGTTGTTCGTTTATCCCACACAGGATCCACTTCGGTACGTGTTGCTTCATCCGGGAAGACAATGCTCTATCGTTCTTGCCAATGTAACTGGCTCCGCAGTTACATGTAATTTAGTATACACAATGAGAACTGGCGCCGATTGGCACAGCTTCCTTAGGATGAGGTACTGACAACTTGCTGGTTCTGTTGATGATGACGACCTGAGCAGCATAGTAGGTCCTGTGCGCAGCAGCGATCTGGCGCTTAGTGGTCCTTAACGTGGCGATATCACCCTTGTAAGGTAATTCGATATAAACTTTCTTCGCTGCCTCCTGTACCAAATCCTTTGGTCCTCATGACTGACTGTGCTTCTCTATAAACCTTCAAGAGTAACAGTTGAATATCTGTGTGGCTAATTCGCTCCAACTCTTCATTTATATAGTCTGCCGAGCACAGTCGTCTGGCATAACTAAATAAGGTCTTCACAAGTGTCCGCTTGTACCGCATCGGTGTAAAGCTTGTGAAATACAGTCCCTTTTTCTTGTCATTTTCTATTCTGGTCCCTATCCACAGCGGGGAGACACGCTCATTGCGATGGAACAGACGGCTTGCGCAGCTTGATGCACTTAACAACCCGTATTTGTCGCTCACACTTTAATGCTTCTGATGAAGCGAAATTTGCGCATACCACCAGGAGAGGAGATGCTTCAATCCTGGTGAATTCATTTCGCATCTTAACCTCATTCTCTACTTCAACCATATGGGGTTTGTCATTGGTAATGAGAGGCTTCGTTATTCGCGTTCTGCTTTTGATCCTTTCGTTCCACATGCATCCCAGCTTAATCAAGCCGAAATTCTTACACTTGGTATTTTCTAGCTTTTCGCTGTAGACATCTCCCCGTTCACATTTTAACTTAGCCTGTTGCCAATACCAGATTAGCTTATGCCCAACTGACGCGATCTTGTGGTTACGAGTGAAGGGATACCATTCCTTATCACGAAATAAGCTTGGAACTGATTGAGAACTCATAAGTTCGGGAATTTTTAACTGCAAGTAGAGATCTTGTACCGTGGTACAAATCTTGACAATACTTAGTTGTGTTCGAACTTTCCAAACTAAAAGAATACAGTTTTTTACGCTGCCAAAACACAATAAATATCTCCGGCTGCATGGTAAAATCTGATTGGTGCAGCAAAGTGTAGCGGATTCTTATGCATGGTCTGATTGACGATACTATTGATAACCCATAGTCATTCAAGAGGCGTATACGGCAATTAAATTCCTCCAGTGGAGTAATCAAGTATCAGAAACAAAGTATAAAATGCAAAACCACTACTGGCTTCATGATCGATCTCTGTCCCCCACTCAAGAAGACGACTCACAACTCGCTTTATTCTATAGATCTCTCCACTTCTGTGCACAACTACTCACTCTCGAGTGACATCAACGGCCAGTTCAGTGTTCGCTTTTAACGACAATACTAATAATAGTAATGCTAATAGTAATAACAGGTGTATTTTTTGATTACACTAGACACGCTGTTTTCGGCATGATCAAGTTTAGGCAGTTCACTTACAATTCACGTTACACAAGGTTATACAATAGCCCGATGAAGCTTTTGTGTCAAAAGCGAAATGTTGTCCATCACCATAAATACATTAACCGGTCGTCTACCAAGTTTTCTGAAATGATGACTTCCCGATCGATTCCAAATATGTTCCAAGATATTTAATACAATAGCGGTAACTGTTTTTGGATGAGTGTTCGGCTGTCGAAGCATGTCATTTGCTTGTTGAATTCTTGTACATGACATGACATACATACTAACAGATTCCCGTGGATGTTGGCCCATCCAAATTGTGTTTCTGGACAAGGGACTAATGAGCCATTTGGGATGCTGTTGTACACAGCATCCCCACTTTGCATTTAGTCTACAGACTTCATGTACACATGACAACTTTATAATGGACTTGGTCGGGTGAGGATGTCACTTCGTCTATTTGTCTGCACCTTAGATCTCCAGCAGAATTAATCTTAACCATCCTGCTTCATGGTTATCCGAATTATGTATATTTTTGAAACCAGCCCATTCCAATGTATACCCCATGGAGTACTCTGGCTGGATGAAGAATCATGTGACACCTTTAGCTTACGGTGAATTCACTTTGCCTCTTCACTTCGTATCTCTTTAATTCCATACGCTTATCAGCCTGCATTACATGTTCTAGCTCAGCCCTATAGTCCCATGCAAAGTAACCTTATGTTTTGTATAAGTTCGTCGCAGTTAGACACAGGCAGACAGCCACCACACATCCAGGAAAGCGCTAGACGGCCGTTTCGTTCTATTGGGACTCGTCAGTAGCGCGCACCCGCCGAATCCTGCCGGATTCGAACCCACGACCTTACTCTTGCGATATAGCGCGGCTCATCCTCCATTGCGACGAACTTATACAAACCCCTATAAATCCCCCTACTACTTACAAATAATCAGTAGTCGCCTTAGCAGCTTACATGCCACCTCGATTGGTAGCGGCTTGCAAAGGAAGTCGTTGCTCTGGGGGCCAGCCCTGTCCTCCGCACACTCACAACATGCAAGACAATGGAGGATGAGCCGCGCTATATCGCAGTTAGATATCAGTCATGGCGGTCCCCTACCGTCGCCCATGGCTCAGTGACATAAATCGCTGACTCGCAAGAGTAAGGTCGTGGGTTCGAATCCGGCAGGATTCGGCGGGTGCGCGCTACTGACGAGTCCCAATAGGACGAAACGGCCGTCTAGCGCTTTCCTGGATGGATGGTGGCTGTCTGCCTGTGTCTAACTGCGACGAACTTATACAAAACCCAATAAATCCCCCTACTACTTACAAATAACCTTATGTTCTTGGCCATGCTATGCATTTTTACCCCATGCGAGATTTTACCTCGGGCTCCTCAGCCAACCAGCAGGCTGGGATTAATGACTCTTATCCAAGGTAGGTACTTTGCTTATTTTCCATCTAATCCGGATGGGTACGGAATAGGGTGTATCGAAAGTCGTTGGCTCCTTTGAATCATGGCACTCGATCGATATTTACGCGCCCTTGGGCCAATGCTCCGTCCGTCTGAACGGTGCCATGCTTCAGTGGCTAAGATACTGTGAGATTCACCGCGAACAATTGACTGATTTTCCGGTGCCTCTCTTTCTGTCTTTCTCATACAGCATACATTCCTGCGCCTATTTATTTCGGCCAGCTGTTCGACCTGGTCTGCCAGTATCGTATTACTGTCGGTGAGAATGGCGAGAGTACATCTTCCAGCGGCTGCACTGTACCCATCCCATCAGATCCGCCTGCTTCTGTACTGTCTACACGAGAACAAATGCCCACTCCCTCTCACACTGGTGCGTGTCTGCAGTACAATCTGGAGGGTCTTCCCTTGGTTTGGCTTGGCCTAGTACTATCCCTCAAGCTCGTCAGTCTCGCGGGGGCAACAACCACGTGGCGAGTTGCCAGGTGGGTCCCCGTTCGTTTTTCCTCCCATTTCTGTGGTACCAGTTTACCTATGGCGTTAGATGTCGCACTCAACTCTGAGACTACTCAACGTGCTATATGCACATTGGTTCAATAATTCCCGCACCGATCGTACGCACTCGGCAGACTTGTTCCCACTTGTGTTATTTCGAATGCCAGCAGTCATCTAACCAATGCTTTCGGCAGTACCTCCTTCTACTACTCACACTATTATTTGTCACCATTTTATTGTAAGTTCTCATTCTTCCTGGACATTGAAATGAAGCCTGGCACTTAATTCACATAGAGACATCTGCGCAGTTCCGCGTGATTGTCCCACCCCATTCTATGACGCGAGAGTAACTTTTCTGCAAACCGCATACTACCGCATTGCTGCGTCACGGCCATGTGTCATCACTAAAGCTTCTCTTCCGTCGATTTATACATCAAACATGTTCTGTTTTTCGATCGGCGCGCATCGTTAATCCTCATACGGAAGCGTAAAATCCAACCGGATTGAAAGAAACATTTAGCTGCCTCTTCTCTCGGCACACTTTGCTGGTTCCTGGCTCATTATACACTGTTCCATAGGTCATTTAATGTGATACTTGATTTACTTTTTCGGCAGTCCATTCTTCATCTGGGTGCGTGCTTACGTGGCTGCTTCATACTGTCTGGAGCTCCCCTCCTCTCTGCGCATCTGCCATTTTGAGTTGTTTTGACTTTACCTGTGCATTGACTTACTTTGAAAGCTTATAACGTGAAACTTGAGCGAGTTCTCGCCTTCATCATAGCTTTTGTCATGCCACCGGTTCTGTAATCTCGTTCGCTGAACTCTTCTCCTATACGCTTATCTATCACTGATAAGAAGGCAGTGTTCGTCCGTTGGAGCACAACCTTTTACCTTGTGTTCCCAGTCTCCTAGATGTTACCACGATAACTACTATTTCTTATCCTATGACAGTGGGAGCGTTTCGAAGCAGGAAGACATCTGTTACTTCTGGCGGACTTGCGTTTCGCTTTCGGTGCTGGAGCAATGTGAACCCAACAAAGTGGAGATAATCTATCAACGGCATATGTATGATTGGTTACACATATCAAGTGACCGCCGGATGCGTGTTACTGACGCGTCGGCGATGTATGCATTAGGAAAAGGCGACAAACCAGGTCGGTTTCCCTGATGATGCAGCAAATTTTACCGTATGGTTCAGGCTAGATGATAACGAACAATGCATGCAACTCTTGAGCACGTAATCCACATGCATTAGCTTAACTCGATGAACTCATACTTCTCGTCATGTCTCAATCTACTCAAAGTCGACTTGTCGGTTCTCCACGTTACGCTGTCGGACGAGGCAGTCTATTGGTTCTGGATCAGTTCCGCTGAACATGTGTGATCCCAGAAACGAAGTGAATTGGGTCCAGCACTCAAAATTCCTCTACCTCACCAGTTATGGTATTAGTGATGGAATCGACCTACGTTCATTCCAGTTTGAATCGCGGAATACATTGTGATTGCGTGTCGCAATCTATTCACACAACTTGTGCTTCAAATCGACCATGCAATTACTTTCGTCCATTCTACTCTATCTTGTATTTCTCTAATAATAATAATCGATAGCGTTGGGGCAAATTCCAACTTACGAGTTAGGAGAAATACGTCGTGCTCATAATCGGTTTCAAAGTTAAATAAAGGAAACCAAGTGCATGAGCTCCATTACTTCCGCAATCTCTTGCTTCCAGTATCACCCCCAGCCACTGTTGTGTGTATTTTGAGGTCCGCACCCCCACGAACGACACAGCCTGAGCGGTTCTTCCGGTCAGTCGCTTCATTCCTTTACGCTATCGAATAGCGTGATTGCATCGACGGCGAGCGATGTGCTCGAAAGGACAAACCAAGGACATGACCCGTTCGTCATAATCGGTTGCACCTTAACATGCAATCTAACGCGACACCCGACGGTTTTTCAACTGCCGGCTACTGGACTTCCATTATCCAAGCGAATATTGGTAGTACTCGGTAAGCACCGATGTCAACAGACAACCTGTGTCAATGCTGTTTATTCGAGACAGCCATTTTTCTGATTCATACAGCAACACCGGAGGCCCTATCGCATTGTTCTATCTCTGTCTTTGACTGTCAGGCCGTCTCCGTTGATACCTGATGTAGCACCCCCATTGGTTCGGCCACACGTAGAAGTAGACCGGCCAACTAGTTCGAGTGGCTTTCGCGTGACATACATAACATGTGTATCTAATCTTGCTCCCCTACGATTGTAAACTGCGACGCACATCATTCCGCGCCAGTCTATCTATGTTTTTCGGTCAGTTACATCCATAATACTTTCACATTCCTCCTGAAGGAAATCATTTTCCTCCTTCGATCTCTCAAGATGCTCCTTAATGCTGTTAAGTTGCATCTGTAACGTCCATTTTGTCAACAGCCATCACCCTTCGCCTGGACCCACATTATTGCCCTAATTCCCCTTGAATTCACTCTGTTTGAACGTTCCACGTATACCGCCCTGCATGACCCTTAGTCGTTTGTTTTCCATGCCCACCTTACATTGGTGACACCACCTGTCTCGCTACTTTCTTTGATGCATGCTCCACTTTATCGATCACTGCTTCGCACTTGTTCCATTTGCGTGTTACTATTGAGGTCAGGGTAGATCGGAGATTTTGTGGGGTGGACACACCACCCATCCGGCTGACATGTGCCCCTAACCTCAGGTCTTCATAATGTGTCTCCCATTGAACCTGCTTGATGTGATTGGACTAGTGGCTGTTGGTTTCTTGATTGGCTCACTGGTGCATGTCTCGCATGTCATGTAACCGCGCTGGGTCATTTTGCTGACTGGACGACCGTATTGATGTCCTGTTCTTGTAACGGCCAACTGATTGTACTTGTCTTTGTTTGAGGACATTGTTGAAGTATGTTGTCACTTTGATCTTTTACTCTTTGTATAATAGCACCGTAGTTCAGCATCGACTGTGGCTTTTTTGTTTCTCCGGTGCCTACACACCAACTCCGATCCTTGTCGCTCATTGATCCCCTGTCGGAGGCCGCGAATCGGTGCCCTACGCGAT